AAGTAAATCTCTATAGGTCTATATCTAGAAGTAAAGGTTATATTAGATATTTTATATATATATATATATATATAGTAGTGTTACTTTAAGGTTAAATTTAAGGTTAAATTTAAGGTTAAATTTAAGGTTATAATTATATAAGCTTTTATATCTAAGTGTTAGTAGTGCTTAAATTAAGTAAAGCTAAATTACCTAGCTTATAGCCTTATAAAGTAGTATAAAAGGCTACCTTTATATAGTATTTACTATATAGTTACTATAACTTAGCCTTAATTCTCTATACTTATTTAGTAAGGTTAGGATTACTTATAATATACTTATAAATCTATTACTAATATTATATATTTACTTACTAATTATTAGGCCTTTATAATTTATTTATAAAGTAATAAAGTTATAATAAATAAGTATTAAAGTATATAAAGTACTTTACTTTTTTACTTATACTTTATTAATAGTAATATCTCTTATTAGTTAATTTACTCTCTTTTACTATATCTTTACTATATATTAAGTTATTATTATTATTACTTCTAGTTAGGCTAAATACGCTATAGCCTACTTAGTTATTATATAGTAAGTTATTAGTAAGCGCTTTAACCCTCTTTAGTGCTATCTTATAAAGAGACTACTAGTTAAGATTATTTTAATTACTTATTATTTTACTAGTTACTATATATAAATCTAGCTAAAAGCTTAGTAAGCTACTTTATAAAGTAGTAATAAGGTTATTAAACTAAATTAATAGCTACTAGTAGTTAGGTAAATTAACTTATACTAATTTACTATAGGCTACGTTCTATTTATTAAGCTATATAGTAAGATCTTTTTTAGTAGTTAAGGACTTTTACTAGGCTTTTACTAGCACTTTACTATACTTATTATAAGTATACTTTATATACTTTTTTTTAGTTATTCTTACTACTATACTATTCTTATTAAGCTATTTAGCTAGTAATTTATTAGATTTATAATATCTTTCTTAAAGATCTATAGACATAGTAAATTTAAATATATTAGCTATATTTTTAATATCTTTTTACTAAGTAGTATACTTATAGACTTCCTTATAATAGTAGCTTATTTAGCTATTTAAGTATATAAAATTATATAAGTTAAGATTATCTAGTGTTATTATATATTTAGTTTTATATATAAGCCTATTAAGTATAGCTATAATAGCCTTACTTTTTACTATATATAGCTATATAGTTACTTACTAAAATATCTTAGTAATTACTATAGCTATAGTAACCTCTTAGTAAGTAGTAAGCTTATTTTTAGTTAAGGCATATAAATATTATGTTATAAGTAGCTTTATTAGTTTTTTTAAATATACTTTAAGGATTAATTAGTCTACTACTATAACCTCTAAGTTAATATACTCCTAGAGATTATAATACTTTACTTTTACTTAGATAGCGTTAAGCTATATAAACTAATTACTATATAATTATAAGATAGTTTATTTATTATTATAGTTCTTATTAATTATTATAATAGTATTTAATAATTAGATAAGTATATTAGTTATTATAGACATATATATTAGACTATTAATTATTAAATAGTAAGGATTATAATAGCTACTTAATTAATTTTTTTATATATTATATAACTATTATAAATTCCTCTAGAAATAAAGAAAAACCCCTATTTTTTAGTTAGGAAATCCCTAGCTAATCCTAGCGATATTATTAGTAAAGTTACCTCTAAAGGTAGGGCTAATTTACTGCCTATTCCCTAACAATTTACTATAAAGTAACTATATATTTACTAGCTAATTTACATGTAATTCTACTATATTTAATATTATTAGTAAAGAAAAACAGAAATAAAGGTAGTATATATATAAGTAAGAAAAAGTAGCCTAGTTACTTATAAACTACGTTATAATAGTTAATTTATTATTCTATTATATATAACTATAGTAAAATCCTATAGGAATAAGGAAATCCCCTTATGTCTTAGTTAGTAAATCCTAGGCTAATCCTGGCAATATTATTAGTGAAATCACTATTAAAGTGGGGCGATTTCACTGCCTATTCCCCGGCGATTCGCTGTAGGGCAACCGTGTATTCGTCGGTGAATTCACGTGTACTTTCGCTACATTTGACATTCCCTGTTCCTTTAGGCTTTCACTATAAGTACACATACACCTAACAATCCATTACATTCCCCATTATTTGACAGATTTCTCTACCTAAAACTAGGGAACATAATTATCTGCGTATTTGCCCCTTGGAAAGGGCCGATCGGCGATGACTGCGTAAAATAGAGATAGTTACAGATACACACAACAGAGCAATCAATCAACGAAGGTTATCGCTGCCAATTACGCCCTTTAACAGCTTACGGCCTCGCTTGGCATATCAAGAATGATTTTGCATCCCCTAGGCATGCTCCGCGGCAACCCGTACATCCCCATGCCAAATACTCGACCGCTGCGTAGTGAGATTAGTTTCTCATAGGCGGGTCCGGCCGGATACGGGGATGATGACGAATGGTGCAGCGACTGAGCGGACATACCGGCAGTCATGTCATGCCCGAGCCTCCCAGCTGATCCTCCAGTCATCTAGGATGTTATTTACTCGATTCACTCTTCGAGTCACCTGTTTTGGAGGCGAAATGTGTTGAAGGGCCGCCCGTAACCGCCCACATCTGACCATATTTTGACAGTACTTAGCTAATACGTATTAGTAGCTAGTATTACCACAGGACTATATTCAAGAGCGAAATCTATCTGTCCAAGGTTCTTCAACCAACAGAGCCTATCAACTCTATTCATCTGAACAGTACACCAAGGCATCTTCTAAAGCCTTTTGAAACTTGGCAACCTAGCACACTTTGGTTAGCACGCATCAAGTTTGAGAGTCTACGCGGAAGAGACCACCTACATCGGGCGGGATGATCATGGTAAAGTGATCGGCGTCAATAGAGGTGCATCTGACGGGGCCGACAAGCCTGTCCCAGCCGTTAGGCCCGAGGGGCTTGCCGGCGGGGATGGCCCAGGCAAAGGGGCCGACGGCGGAGTCCTCCATGAAGTTGGGGATGGCGTCGGTGAGGATGCCGCTCTGGCGCAGCTGGCGGCGGGCGGCTTCGTCGAGGCGCTCGATGACGCCGCGCTTGCACCACGTCACCCAGGTGCGGAGGGGTCGCTTGCCGGGGGGCATGGGGACGGGGTCGTACTCGGCAACGGTGCGGACCATCTGGGCCATGTGCGCCTGCTGGTTGCGCATGATGGTCGGATCGGCCCAGTTGCGGGACTGCACCATGGCGGCAGGGAGGAGGAGGCTCATTGAAGGGGGCATGCCCGGGTCAGGGCGGAGGCAGGGCACGGCCATGTCGAAGAGGAGGAGACCGCTGACGGTGTGGCCGTCGGCTATGAGCTGACGGGCCGTTTCGTAGGCGTAGACGGCGCCGCCCGAGTAGCCGGCAAGGAGGAAGTTACCTGCGGGGTAGGTGTCGAGGACGGCCTGTTTGAAGAGGGCCGACACCTCCTCGACGCCGACGGTGAAGTCGCGCGGGTTGTTAAGGTAGGGGGACTCGAGGACGTAGAGGGGCCGACCGTTGCGGAAGCACTTGAGGTACATGTAGGTGGAGGCGCTGCCGGCGCCGTCGGGGAACATGAAGAGCGGCGTGTGGCCGGAAGCTTTACGGCCTTGCATGAGGACAACGTTAACCTTCAAGGGGGTCGCGGCCGGGGTCGAGGGCGCCACGGGCGTTTGGGGGGCTTGGTGGCTGAGAGAATCGATGGTAGGGTTGACGACGACGACCTCCGAGGTATCAGTCGTGCTCGGTGTCCCGGCGTGCTCGACGAATGAGTAGCCTGCAGTGATCGAGGCATTTATTGATGATGCTTCCGACGACAGAGCCGCCGCAGCCTCAGATCCCGACTCGGCAACTTGCGGCTGCTGCTGCTCGTGATGCTGACCAAAAGTCCGGCGCAGATCGCCAATGGTGGGATTCTCGACGAGCGTTGAAGGATGGATATCGATGCCCGTCTGATCCCGAACATTGGCCGCGATCTGCATGGCCATGATAGAGTCGACGCCGAGGTCCGCGAGGGCGGTGAAGTCGTCTTCGATATCGGATACCTCGGCACCGGTCTCGGCAGCGATGGTGCTCAAGAGCACCCCGAGGAGCCCGAACCGGCCGCCTCCGCCGGCGGATGGTGAAGTGCCGACGTCGGCGTCGTTGGACAGAGCGTCGGAACCGCCCGCGAGCGCGTTGGCCCGCGTGGTCGCCGACGGCTGATGCGGCTTTTCCGAGTCGACGGCTTCGGAACCCACCCCCGCGAGTGCTCGCAGAAGCTCGCCGACGGAGGAATGCTCGTGGAACACGGAGGCGCCGATCTCTATTCCCAGCTTGCTCCGCAGGCTTTCCGCGATTTGGACGGCCATGATGGAGTCCACCCCGAGGTCCTGCAGTCTCGTCGAGCTCGTCAGGTCGGACACCTCGCACCCGGTCTCTTCAGCAATGGCCGCCAGGAGGGCGTCGGCGATCGGGGGTCTGCCGGGTGTCGCCTCGGGCTTCCGCGGCTGCGGCTGGAAGGGCCGCGCCACGACTGCGGGCCGCGCCGGTATCGGGCCAGTTTGTGAGGTGACGGCGAGCGAGTGGTCCCTCTTTGTATTTCCTGCTGCTGCTGACCGTAACAAGGCCGGTGCAGCGCCAGGGGCAGCTGGCTTGCTGTCGGGACCCTCTGTCTTGCCAATCATGCGCGCGATGAGGGACTTTGGGATCTGCTGGAGATGTAGGCCGAGGTTCTGCATGACGAGGCGCTGGTCGCAAAAAACATAGACGTTGACAACGGCCGACTTCTTGTCCCGCTTGACGACGCGGGTGTAGACGGTGTACGGGCGGCCTGACTCGAGGGGCTCGACGATGTTGTACGAGTCGTAAGAGTTCATCATGTACAACACGTCGGCAGGCTTGGAAGGATCGCCGTTGACGAGGAAGCCGGCGAGATGGGTCAGGCTATCGAGCCAATAAGGGTTGAGAGTGAAGGAGCATGATTCCGGGGCGGGCGCCAGCACGACGTTGGCGACGCCCTCTTGCATGTCGGGGGACAGGAAGACGTCGACGACGCGCTGGAAGGCGGCGGAGTAGCTGACCGTCTGGGCGAAGATGGAGTAGAAGAAGGACGGGGTGAGGCGCTGGCCGCTGCCAGCCTTTGCGGCGTCGACGACGCTGGCGCAGCGTTCCCAGATGAAGCGCGAGACCATGGCCCAGTCGGCCGCGAGGCGTTGAGGGCTTGTCATGTGCACTTCGACCTGCGCGGCGGGGAGGCTGGAGCCGTCTTGCTGGTCCACCAACATTTTGATCTCGACAGCGGTGCCTTCGGGCCGGTTACGAATCTCGGCAGTGATGGTGACCGTCAGGCCGGTTCTACTGCTGTCGACCGACACCGGTCTCAGGAAGACGCAGTTTCTGGTGCCGAGCTCGATGGCCTCGCACGTCTCGTGGCCTGCTCTTCCGAGGGCATAGCTGGCCGCGGTGAGGGCCATCTCGCCCAGGACGCAGGCTGGCGAGATGGGTACGTCCATCAGACGGTGGCCATCGATGAGCGACTTGAGGTGAGGCTCGAAGAGGGAGGAACGGAACTCGAAGAGTTTGGCCGACGTGGAGATGACGTGGTGAAGGCAGGTAGAGAGCAGAGGAGGGGGAGCTTCAAGGACCGGCGGGGAAGCGGCTGCGGGCGCGGGCGCGGGCGCGGGCGCGGGCGACGGGTACGGACGCCAGTAGTCCTTGAGGTCGAAAGCGTAAGAAGGCAACCGGACCAGACTCAGCTGGGAGGCATAGGGGGCGTAGAAGCCGACCCAGTCGACGTCCTGCTGCGTCTCGTAGGCAGCGGCGAGGGCGGCAGAGATGGAGTCCCAGGGCGAGCCGCCGGGCTTCAGCGAGCAGACCATGCGTGCGCCCCCCGTCCGCGACGAGGGCGATGATGACAAGATGGACGCGGTCAGGTCCGTAAGTACGGCGGCCGGGCCCAACTCCAGCCACAGGCCGCCGCCGCCGCCTTCGAGTCTGGATTGGATGGCCTGTACGCCGCCCTGAAAGTCGACGACCTCGCGGGTTTGTCGGACGAGATACGCCGCATCGATGCGGTTGCCCTGGGAGATGACTTCCCCCAGTAACGTCGAGGCGAAAGGGATCTTGGGGGTGCCGAAGGGGACGCTTCGTGCGAGGGTGGCATATTCGTCCAACACAGGGACCATCTGGGCCGAATGGAAGGCGTACGGCAACGGCAGAGTCGTGGACCAGATATTATGTTGCGTCCGCAACGCGGCCTGCAGAGACGATATGTCCTCTGACGGACCGCTAAGAACGGTGGCCGTGGGCCCGTTGATGCACGAGACGGACGTGCTGGGGTACTCCTCGAGCAGCTGGCTGATCACGGCGGAGCTTGACGAAGCCTTGATGGACAGCATAGAGAAGGCTCCGGCCCGACATCTCCGCTCCATCAGCTGCGAGCGCTTGCCGACCAGGAATAGTGTGTCGGTGAGGGAGAGGACACCGGCCAGGTGCAGAGCGGCGAACTCCCCCAAGCTGTGGCCAATGACGAAGTCCGGAACGATGCCGCACGAGGTCCAGAAGGCGGCCAGACAGACCTCAAGGCACACGATGGCCAGCTGGGTCTCGGAGGCGGTACGTTCCGTGACGTCGACGCTGGGGTCGGTGATGATGTCAACAAAGGACGCCGGAAAGCCTAGCGACTCGCAGATGCGGACGCAAGTCTTCATCTTTTTGCGGAATGCGGCGCTGTCGCGGTACAGAGAGGCGCCCATGGCAGCGTGAAGCTGGCCCTGGCCGGAGAAGGCGAAGACGATGGGGGTTCTTCGGGCGGGGGAGCCGGGCGCAGGTCCTCCGGCGGCGGCGGCGGCGGCGGCGGCTTCGATATCGGCCTCGATCAGGCGCGCGAGCTCCTCGACAGACGCGGCCGTGTAGGCTGAGCGGATGGAGTGGTGCAGGCGTCTGGCGGCGGTAGTATAGGCGAGGTCTTGGATGCGCACGGTTGGGTTTGACCCGAGGTACGCCAGAAGTCTCTTCTTGTTCATCTCATGAGACTTGAGGGACTTGGCCGAGGTGACGACGACGTATCTGGACGGGAGGCCGATCCCCGATTCCGACAACACGTCCGTGACGTTGCCGCGAGATGGCGGTTCCTCCAGCAAAATACAGGTGTTTCCGCCCTATTTGTAGGTGTAAGCATTGAGCCATGCACACACACACACACACACACCGTGGGCGCGAGTACTTGACATGACTTACCGCCGCATCAAAGTTGTTCAATAATATCCTCCGTGGGCGTCCAGGCACAGGCGCGAAACTCTGCGTCTCCGTGGGGATCTCGACGTTGAGTTCCGACAAGGGAGGGAACCGCGGGTTTAGCTGACCGGGAAGGCCAGGCTGGGGCGGCATGATGTTTCTCTCAAACATCATGATGGCCTTGATCACAGCCGCGGCACCGGCACCCTATACAACATACAACACAGCATTTGGGTCAGCGATTGCGCTACCAGCATGGAAGAATTCAAAAAAGGGGGAGATGGGGGGAAGGGGATCCTGGGAAAGTGCGCTCTACTTACAGCCTCGCCGTGTCCTGCGTTCGCCTTGATAGAGCCCAGGGGGAGAGGAAGTGGGCGGCGGCGGCGGCCGAGAGCTTTGCTGACGGCCATCATCTCGGCGTAGTCGCCGACCTGGGTGCCGGTGCCGTGCATCTCGACGTAGGATACGTCCGAGGGCTCCAGGCGGGCTTTGCGGAGCACCTCGGCCATCAGCTCCTGCTGGGCCTCCGGGTCCGAGTGCGTGATAGACACGGCGTCGCCCGAATGGTTCCTCGCGGAGCTGAGAATGACGGCGAGGATGTTGTCGTTGGCGGCGACGGCGTCCTCGTAACGCTTCAGTACGAAGGCGCCGACGAACTCGCCGCGGCAGTAGCCGTCGGCGTCGGCGCGGTACGACTTGCTACCGCCGGTGGTGGAAGTGAAACCGGCCTTGCCGAGGATGTTGAAGTTGGAGGGGCTGGTGAGGATGTTTGTGCCGCCGGCGACGGCCATGTCGCACTGGCCCGACAGCAGAAAGGTGCAGGCCTGGTCGAGGGCCGTCATGCTCGACGAGCAGGCTGTGTCGAGGGTGACGGCCGGGCCGGCCCACTTGAAGTGGTAGTTGACGCGGCCGGCCGCGAAGGAGCGCTGGATGCCGGTGAGGCTGAAGGCGTCGCCGCCGCGGAGTCGGGTGATCTCTGCCCAGTCGTCGGCGATCTGGCCGACGAACGTGGCGAAGCGGCAGGCCGCCGTCTTGGTGTGCGGCCGGCGGGAGTAGCCGGCGGACTCGAGGGCCTCGAAGACGGCGAGGAGGAAAAGGCGGTGTGCCGGGTCGACTTCCATCGCCTCGCGAGGGGAGAGGCTAAAGAAGCGGGCGTCAAAGAGGCCCGGGTTGTCGAGGAAGCATCCGTATTTGGTGTTTGTCGTGAAAGGAGAGCTGCTGGCGCTGTAGTAATCGTCAAGACTGAAGCGGTCTTTCGGGATCTGGAGGGAAAGGGGGGGGGGTTCGTCATTCAATCATTGTTCCATCGATTTCCCCTTTTTCAAGGCGTTGCACTCTCCTCTCAGACTTCGACGTGGTGACAACTTACCTCGGTGTGAAGGGCTTTTCCTTGACAGATGTGTTGCCAAAACTCCTCCAGATCGCCGGAACGCGGGTATCGTCCTCCCATGCCCACAATGGCAACACGCCCCGGGCTCTGCATGGCGTCCTGCTCGCCCAACGGCGGCTTGGGATCCCGCTCGACCCCCACGACCTTGTTGCCCTGGCCCCCCAGATACGCGCATAACGTCGGGATGTGGACCGAGGGCCCTACGCCGTAGACCTTGACCGCAGCGCCGGACGGGAGCACCGAGCTGACGGCGGATAGCCCCCGCGGCATGTTGAGGGGCTGGCTGAGGATCTCACGGACGAGGAGCTGCAGCAGGACACTCCACGTCGGGGCCGAGAGAACGCCGCCCTCGCCCAGCGACACCAGCTTGACATTAGCGCGCACGGGGTTGCTCTCCATGATGGGAAGGGCGCTGGTCATGCCACCGGCTACGTGATCGATCTCGGCCTGCGTCACATCTGATATGACGTGGACGAGGCCCGAGACCCGTAGTTTGGATTTTGCGAGGTTCTGCACCGCCGGGAATGTCTCGAAGAAGTGCTCCAGCACCGCCGGGGGACCGACGACGGTATGCCACGCGTTTTCGAGGCCCGTCCCGGCCAGCTTCATCTTTCTGTGTTCCACCGTGTTCTGTTGCGCGCACATTTTAGTTCATGTGTCCACGCACTCGGCGTCACCAAGCAAGGCCACAAGAAGAAGAACAAAACAGAAGACAAGGTCCTGTACGCACCTCGGTCTCATGGTAGGAATCCAGAGCGGACTGCAGCTTGGTAGCGTCGACGCCCTGTACCAGCCAACCCCAGCATCCGGGGCCGTCCTGGATCGACCGGGACCTCGAGGTGACGACCTCGATCAAGCGGCGCGCCATGCGTATCGTGTCGAGACCGGCGCGGCACAGCGAGGCCATGTCGTGGGCGAAAAGAAGAGCTGCTGCAACGAGCAGGCCCCCGCAGGCGGCCACCAGACATGTCGGGGATTCAGTGCTGGAGCAGAAGAGGGCCGGGTTGGATTCGAGATATCTGCAGCAGCAGACGAGTCAGACATTAGGCGCAGATGGAGGACCGGGAATGCTCACTGCACGAGAACGCCGGTTCGCATGATGGTCACCAGAACAGTGCTCGCCAGGCCCTCAGGGTCGCCGGATTCCCGAAAGCGCTCGGCGAGCTGTAAGAGGTCTGTGAAGTCGCCACCGAATGTGTCTCTCAGGTTAGGCTCCATCGCCTGTATCTCGTCCTTGAGGGTGGACGTTGCGGTCTGTAAGAAGAGGCGGAGCCATGGGCTAGCCGACGACTGGGCGTAGAGGAGCTTGATCGTTGGGTAGAAGACGTCCGTCTGGTCCCCAAAGACGAAGACAGGCACATCGCCGGGGGCAACGGGTTTCATGATGCGCTACGGTCGGTGTTGATGGCTTTCAAGTGGGAGTTACCTGCTGCGAAGATCAAGGCGTGAGGGGCGTAGCACAGTGAACGTGGGGACTTGAGTTGGAAAAGACTGAAGTTGGGAGAGATCAATATCGGGGAGGAGAGAAAAGGACAGGAGGATAATCAAGGCGGGCTAGTTGATATGCTTCGCAATTACGGCGGTTACAAAATGTCATGTTATAGGCCTGGGGTTAAGACATGAGCTTAACGACATGTCTTTAAATAGTCATCCCATCTCTATCCTTGCCGAGCTTCCGGAAGGAGGCTTTTGTCGTTTGCTCCTTAGTAGTGACAGCTGGGTAAGGGTCCTGGGGCGGGCATTGTAATGTCTGCTTTTGCTGCTAACCACCACTAGAGCACTATTTTTACAGACCATAAAAGAAAAATAACAGCGTACATAGAACACTGAACAGTTGCACTCCTGGTATGAAGTGCTAGGCGACTCCTCAGCAGTTCACATAGCCCGAATCGAAGATAGGATAATCAGGTTAGTATGTAATTAACCATCATTGTGCCTTGGCGAGGTGAAGCGGCAATAACAACATACAGGTGATAGGCCTGACAGCCATCCTAATACACTTTTCAAACCAAACTTTGTCTTCCACCTTACTTATGTCAATCCAAAGTGGAGAAGCTCGTCGCCCGTATAGTGTCTAGGAACAACAAGGAAGACACCTGATCGCGCGGGTCGTGGGGGTTTAGGGTTTATTATTCCCGCGGTCTTATGACAGGGGGGGGTTCCGGCAATGGTATGGTGGCCCTCGGAACTCGGGCTTGGCATCCATGCATCCCAAAAGCCGGGTCTTACAAACGGCATGTGTAAAATGCTTTGCTCGCGGAACGTATGACACTGCTGCGCATGCTGCGGGGTGGTCAAGTGCCGACTTACCCATCACGCATGCACCGAGTTGTTGATGATGCGGGTTTTGGGCAGACTATTGGCGTGTAATCCAAACGACACACGCAAAAATGTCCTAACTCATGGTTGTGATTGAACGGGTCATGGTATTTTTGCGTTCGATGAAAGGCACCCAGACAATGGCAGGGATGGATTATGCCATCTAGCGACGCCCGGTCCAAGTTGCACAACAATAGAATATGAGTGGGTTTACATTTACATAATTGTTCAAGCGTACCGGCGGCCAATCCCCTACTTACTCCAGTAAAAGGTGCACACCTCGACGCCGCCAAACATGTCCGCAAACCAGTCCCCCTTGCTCCTGTCCGCGGCTCCCGCAGCAACGAACAGCGGCAGAATGTGCTCGTCCTCGTCTTCTGGATGGAGGTCGTACGAGTGAGGCAGCGCGCGCCATTCGCGCAGGAAGCGGGCGCGCTGCGCCGGATCATCGGCGAGCACGCCGTCCACAAGGCCCTTGTTGAAGTCAGCGACCTTGTTGCGCCATGCCGTCATCTCCTCCGAGTCCGGGTCGGCCATGTACAGCTTGCGCATCATAGGCACGTTGTGGAAAGAAGCGAAGCCCGAGCCCACGATGGCGACGTTGTCGTCACGGAGCTTGGCGAGCGCCTGGCCCATCTTTGTGTACAGGTCTGGGTCGGAAGAGTTGGAGATGGACAGTGACACCAGCGGCACCTCGCCGGACGGGCTGATGAAGATGAAGGGGATGAAGACGCCGTGATCGAGACCTGCGAGTTTGTTCCAATATGCCACGTCAGCAGTGACCAGCAGTCTCCGGGCGCGAACCCACGGCACATGCATAGAAATAGTAACAGTACCTCTCTCAAAGTCCTTGGCAGGGCTTACGCCGGCCGCCGAAAGGGCTTCGTGGACAAGGTTGGCCACCTCGCTGGACCCGGGCGCCTTGTACTGGATTTCAAAAGCGGCAGGCGGATGGCTGGGCTCGAAGTCATGGTAGATGGGGGGTTCGTCCACCATCGTGACGGTCGGGTGGTCAGGACGCCAGTGAGGGGTGACGACGACGATGGCGCGGGGGGCCTCGGGCGTTCCCAGCCTCAGGATCTCGCGCACGCGCGTACGGAGGCTCTCGTTGAGGGCATCGTGGCCGTGGCCCCCCATTTGAGGCTCGAGGACGGGCATCGGGCCTACGGAGTGGGACGATCGTGGTCAGCAACACGCGGTTCGACGCAGGCTCGGTTGACTCCACGATGATGCTTACCGCCGCCGTGCGTGATACAGACTACGGGTGCGCGGGACATGTTGGGGGTCAAGGTGCTGTGTCCAAGGTCCGAGGTTGAGTTGAATTCGTTGCTGCGTCTTCTTGATCCGAACCTCGATATTTCGCTGACCTGGTTGGGATATTGTCGAGGAACACAATGTGTCAAGTCTTTGGTTTCCTGCTCAAAAGACCATCTCGGCCGATCAAGTAAGGTTCACAGTATCAACACGTGTGTCTCTGCTTCTGGAACAGGGGATCTATCTCACCGCCTTGTAATGCTGACAGTTCTAGCCGTATCCACAGGTCTACGGATATCGGGACATGCATCTCTGCCGATGCCTGTCCATGCTGTACATACTTTGCAGTAATGCTACATACCCGTTATGGTATATATAAAGTATATACCCCACAATACAGCTTCACCTATATATAAAGTATATACTCCACAATACAACTTCACCCTAGCTCACCTTATCTATCCACATAACCTTATTTTACCTGTACTGGGTGCGGCAATAACCTCGGTAATTGTAAGTATGGATAGTATGATGTTGGGGCAGGGGTAGGGCTTACGACGCAGTAATGGTTTTAAACGGACATTTATTTCGTCCGTCTAGCCGTATCTACGGGTCTATGGATACAGGGACATGCATCTCTACCAATGCCTGGCCGTGCCTTATATTCTATGTACTTTATCATAGCGCTCTGTACAGGATATCCTGTACAGTCAATATAAATATATACTCCATGTAATTATAAATACGGATAATATGATGTGAAGGCTGGCTTGATGCCCGGAGCTGAGCCTGGCCCTTGTCACTTGATGACCACTACCCTGTTATCTGATCAGACCATGACCCGGAGCTTCTGAGACCCCTACTACTAGGTGTCATTCTCGTCTTTTGAGAGTGGAGGCATTTCGGACTTCCGGTGTGATGGATTGACCCGCTGTCCGTCGCTTCGTTGTGCCCCCCAAAGGCGTGCTGGTCAATGGTGACCACCTCGGGACACAGACAAACCCGTTCATGTTCAACGTCTTGAAGCTGATCTTTTTCTGGCACGCAAGAATCTGCAACATCCATAACCTGGGATAACATCAAGAAACATGCGGGCCTCTATAGACGGTGACGGACTTTCGGACTTGGCGGACAACCACCCGCATCCGCTCCGCATCACCATCGTCGGCGCTGGCATAGGCGGCCTCGCCGCCGCCATAGGTCTGCGCCGTAGCGGACATACCGTCGACCTGTACGAGCAAGTGTGCTTTGCCGCCGAGGTTGGCGCAGCCGTCCACCTGATGCCTAACGGCCTCAGCATCCTGCGGTGCTGGGGGTTGGACACCGCCGACTTTGACCCGAACCCCATGAGCCGTGTCGTCGAATACGACGACCAGGGCCGGGTACAGAAGGACATTGATCTCTCGAGGGCGAACACGCGTTGGACTGACCCGTGGCTTTTGGCGTCGCGAGCCAAGTTCCACGACGCGCTCAAGGTGAAGGCGCTCACCTATGGTGCTACGCTCCACACGTCTGCAAAGGTCGTGGACGCCGACCCAGTCAGTGGCACGATCAGTCTACAGGACGGGCGAGTTGTGAAGGCGGATGTTATACTCGGGGCGGACGGAGTTTATGTGAGTTGTGCTCGTCTGCGATAGACACGGCTCTTGGAAGTCGCTTTGGAGGAGGGGGGAGCAAGAACAGGTTGATGAACGATTTGGCTGACTCCTTTTTGCAACAGTCGGTCACGAGAAGCTGCATTACCAATGCGAAGCCATTCAGCTCGGGGAAATCGGCTTTCCGATTCATGATCCCCAGGGACGTTGCACTCGCTGATCCGGCAACTCGTCCTCTGGCGGAAATATATGACGGTCTACTCGCTTGGACGGGCAAAACGCGCAGGATCATCATGTATTCTTGTAGCAACAACCAGATGCTCAACTTTGTGTGTATGCATCCCGACCAAGACTCGCCCCTAGGGACACAGAGCAGCAGTGGTGAGTGCTCCAAAAAGAAAAAAGAAAAAGAACAAAAAAGAAGAAAGAAATGAGAGAGAGAGAGACAGAAAGAGAGAAAGACTTCTGCGATTTTGTTATTATTGTCATCGCAACTAACACGCAGCTCGAAACAGGATGGAACGCACCGGTGACAGTCGACCAGATGTTGAAAGTGTATCAAGATTTCCCTCCAGCAGTCAAGAGTCTGCTTGCCAAGTCCGGTGATTCTGGGGTCTTGAAGGGGGTGTGGAAGTTACTGGACATGGAGCAGATTCCTTACACCAAGGATAAAATGGCGCTGCTCGGCGATGCTGCTCATCCCTTTACTCCGCGTAAGAACCGCATAAACCACATCCACTCAGCTAAAGTCATGGATTTCTCGGCTGATTTACGTGCCGTGTCGTGTCGTTGAAGACCAGGGACAAGGCGCCGTGCAGGCGATAGAAGACGCAGCCAGCCTGTCAATCGTCCTTCCCCGAGGAACACGCCCGACAGCAGTGCCAGAGCGGTTACGGCTGTACGAGAGAATTCGAAGCGGGAGGGCGCACAAGATCCAAGCGTACTCCCGAGAGGCGGGAAGAGACGTGCAAGGCGACGACGACAAGCCTGAAGTGGACAGTACGTCGTCAGAAACAGACATCCACCCGCCCCTTTGCCTGCTATTGACTTTGATGCTCGGGCAGACACAAACGAACTCTTCTCCCACGACGAGCTGGCCAACTCGGCACGCATGTTACGGGAATGGAAGCTCGACAAGAGCCCCGGCGACTTCCGCCTGATGCCCGTCGGTATCGGAAGGTTCTCAGGCCTGCGGCAGCAGATGGCCTCGGCAGCAGACAAGCAGGCTCTCCGGTTCAAACGAGCCGTCGTCAAGTTTAAAAGCTCCAAGCCGTATCTGGAGACCCTTTTCCCCAACGAACGGTTCACGTTCAGGCGCGCAGACACCCTCTGCAGGGCAAGCCTAGTCGTCACGTCCATGGGAGGCGTGCCGTGGTTGGGCGGCGAAGGCTACACGACGCTGGCGCTTCACGTCCATGGGGTGCAGTACAGGAAACGCGACGGCGGGGTCGTCAACGGAACCTTCATGCCGGTGCACCTCGTCTCGCGCGGCGAGGCGGCCACGGCTGCCCGTGAGGAGCTCGGCCTCCCGAGCGTGCAGTGCGACGTTGACATGTACCCGTCGTACGACGGCAGCGGCTATCGGATCACGGCGTCATGGGGCGGGGCCAAGTTCGCCGACATCGCGTTCGAGGGTCTCGAGAGCGGCAACGCCGCCACGGAGAGGGGGCCTATAGGCACCGCGGCAGATTATGGCATCATGGTGTACAGGTACGTCGCTGCAGTCGGAAGGCCCGGCCAGACCGAGTGCGAGTATGCCTGCGTGATACCCCATGCGAGACAATCCAAGGCGGAGACGGTCGAGACTGTCGCGAGCTCCAACAGCGCGAGGATGGTTTTCAAGCCGCTGGGCTGGGACCAGCTTCCTACCATGAGCCACATCGCATCTGCCTTGGCGCAGATGCCCGTGTTTGATATCATGAGCGCCAAGGTCACCGAGGGGACCAACGTATCAGAGTATTTGTCATCTATTCGGATCGATTAGAGGGGAATAAGACCATTGCACAACTTGTTTTGGTTCCAAGAGCCAGATGAACCGAGCGGCCACCCGCTTCCCGGACTTGGCCTGGCCAACCCGTCCAATCTGTGATGGTCAGACATTAGACAGTGCCATTGTATGTACGGCGTCTGGCCGGTACAGGTGAAGTCGCCATTGTCAGGGGCCCCCCCATCACGTCTCAACGGCGCAGCCGCAGAGCATAGACACGTTGCAAATGTGTCTGAGTTATGACTATTGGAACTCTAATAGATTGAACGGCAACAGGCGATGCCGTGAAGAGATACCTATTCTCTTACAGACAAACCAGATAAAAAGCATTATCAGTGGGTAATACAGTAATATACTAAGCTTTGTCGAAAAGACCTCGTACACCGATATTTACTTGGATTACATCGCCCACATATGTCGCCATCCACTGACCTTAAAGTTCAGATGTACAATGGTATCCGGCCGAAGTTAATTACCCCTGTTAGGTAACTAATGCTCACCCTCCTACTGCAGGACTTCACTTTTGGTGAATGTTCCCCCTCTACTATGATATAAGCTGTGGGGGGTAACATCATAGGGGTAATTAACTTCCCCCTGCCACCTTGTAGTACGGATAATAACCCGAATCCTGCTTAGGTCCTTCGATGCTGCATTAGAAGACCCGCTGGGGCGGGAACCCCCTCCAACATGAATCAACCTTGTCCCTGGGGACGGGCGAGACAGGGTTATCCCCCTGTATCTGCCGTCATGTCAGAGCTAGGACATCAATCCCACCTCAAGTCCTGGCCCCGGCCGCTTTCAACGGTACCTAGCCACCTAGCATCGCCATGGAACATGGCTGTTACATCAAACCACGGTGTGTCAGCAGCCCACGATGTTGGGGGCAGTACGGACACAGCACCTCCTCCCCTCGGAAGCGAGGAAATGGTAGACCTCGCCACCGTGACCGGATGGTAGAACAGAACGTGCTTTGCGTTGACAAGCAGTAATTATCGAGACACCCGTTCCAGCAACCAACAGCAACCCCATCAGCAGACACGGTCATCATCCCTAAGCAACAAACAAACAAACATGTCTGCCACTGAAGCTTCAGAGGTCTACGGCAAGCGCCTCATCCCGCACGTCATCGATGACGCCGCGAGAAACGACCCGGCGCGGGAATGCTTCTCGATACCCTTGTCGTCCAACCCGCGGGACGGCTGGAGGCCTGTTTCCTACGGCCAGTACGCCGCCGCCATCGATCGCCTCGCCCACCACATTTTCAAGACGTCTGGCGCACCCGAGCCCAAGAGCTTTCCAACACTGGCTTACATTGGCGCAAACGACGCAACGTACCTCATTTTTATCGTTGCCGCCGTCAAAGCGGGCTACAAGGCGAGTTTCTGTCACGGACCATCGCACATCCTTCCTCCTCTCTCTCTCTCTCTCTCTCTCTCTCTCTCAGTCTCAGTCTCAACGGTGTCAGGGAATAACATCGAAGTTGGCTGCAGGCGCTATTAATCTCACCCCGGAACTCGGAAGAGGCGCAACTCAACCTCTTCGCGCTCACAGGCTGCGACACACTCTACCATGACGCAACCTTCCAACAGCCGGTGTTGCCATGGCTGGCGAAGCGTGGTAGCATGAAAGCGCACCTGCTCGAGCCGCTAGACTTTTGGCTAGCCCACGAAGTCGCGGTTGAGCCGTTTCCTTACGTCAAGAGCCCCGAGGAAGCGGAGTGGGAGCCCTTCGTGGTGCTGCACACGAGTGGGAGCACGGGGCTGCCGAAGCCCATCGTCGTCCCCAACGGCCTGATGATGCTCAACGACAAACTGCATCTCCTGCCGACCTGGAAAGGAACCGAGTCGGCCGTGCGCGGGTTGGCTCGCACCAGGAGGAACCTGACCCCGAGTACGGGCGCCTCCCCCCCATCTTCCTCTTACCCGGTGTGTTCTCGCTGACCAGGACGTCATCGCGCAGTGCCCTTCTCCCACGCCAGCGGCCTGTACAGTTTCTTTGGCTTCCACGTGTATTGGGGCGTCCCGGTCACGTTCGCCATCCTCAACGGGCCGTTCACGGCCGAATTTGTCCTGGAGCAGTTGGCACACGCCGGCGCCGATGTTGACTCCATCTCCTTGCCCCCGTCAGTCTTGGAAGAGCTCAGCCTCACTCAAGAAGGATGCGACAGGCTCAAAAAGTTGGCGTTTGTCGTGTTTGGAGGTGGTCAGTGTTCCCCCGCCCAACCCCGCAGGAGAAGCCTTGATGGTGGGTGCATTTGTTGATGCATAGACGTTCCGGTAGGCAACCTCAGCGATGCTGCCGGGCAGAAGTTGCTGGACCAAGGCGTTGTGATCCAAAACTCGTTTGGGTCGACGGAGTGAGTGTGGTTCCCGCGGTGATCATCATTGCCCCGAACGTACTGACGGTTTCCATCTTCAACCCCCTCCCTTTAGATGCGGTATGTTGCCCTACTACTGGCAGACCAATCCCAACGCCTGGCAATGGCTTCATATAAATTCCGACGTGATGGGCGCCGTGTGGCGGCCGGTCGCGGGCGAGGACGATATCTTTGAGCTTGTCATCGTCCGCCATAACTCCCCTTCCGCCATCCAAGGCGTCTTCTACACGTACCCGGGCCTGGACGAGTGGTCCTCCAAGGACCTCTTCAAGAAGCATCCGACGCTGCCGGATCACTGGAAGTACCATGGCCGCTGTGACGACCTGATTTGTTTTTCCAACGGCGAAAAGCTGAACCCTGTGACCTTTGAGAACGCACTCAACGGACATCCCAAGGTCGGGACGGCCATCGTCGTGGGCTCGATGCGGTTCCAGCCCGCGCTGCTCGTCGAGCCCGCCCACTACCCCGCCAACGCGGACGAGGCCGAGCGTCTCGTGGCAGAGCTCTGGCCGCTCGTTGCCAGCGTCAACAAGCAGACGGCGACGTATGGCCAGATAAGCAGGCAGCTCATCCTGCTCGCCAAAGCCGACAAGCCTTTCCCCAGGCTGGTCAAGGACACGGTCAACCGCGCACTCTCCATCAAGCTCTACGAGTCCGAGATAGAAGCCCTCTACCGTGATGCAGAAGCCGGGTGGAAGGACGCACAACACAACCTCGATCTCACCTCGGAGGAGACCCTTATACAATGTCTGTGCCGCCTCTTCCAGACCCTGACCCGCCACACCACCGTCGAGCCGGACACGGACCTGTTCACGGCCGGTGTCGATTCACTGCAGGTGGTCAACGCATGCCGCCTCCTGCGCGGTGCCCTCGCCACGAAAACCGACAGGATCGACCTCAAGACCGTCGCGCCGCGCCTCATCTACGCGAACCCGTCGCCCCGCCGCCTCGCCGCGGACCTATGGGCACGCCACGCCGGCTCTCTGCAGCCTTTCGACGCCGACGCCGAAGCGTCCCGTGCCATGTTGGCCCTGCTGGCAAAATACACCCTAGGCCTGCCGTCTGTCCCCGCGCCTGAGAGGCCCCCGGCCCGCCGCACGGAGCAGACCGTTCTTCTGACCGGCAGCACCGGCAGGCTCGGCGCCCACGTCCTCGACTACCTCGTCGCGAACCCGGCAGTGCGCAAGGTCATCTGCCTCAACCGCGCACGCGACGGCCGCGCGCGCCAACTGCGCCTCAACGCCGCGCGCGGGCTCAAGACTGATCTCGCGTGCAAAACCGAGTTCCTCCAGGCCGACTTGTCCCAGCCGCAACTCGGGCTCAGCGTCGCCGACTACCGCCGTATGCTGGGGGAGGCGGACCGCGTGATCCACGCCCAGTGGCCCGTCAACTTCAACCTCCCGCTCGGGGCCTTTGAGCCCCACGTGCGCGGCGTGCGGCACCTGGTCGACCTGTGCGCGCGGGCGGCGCGGGACGCTCGGCTCGTGCTCGTGTCGACCGTGCTGGCGGCCACGCCGTGGAACGGGTCGGAGGGCGGAACGACGGTTATGTCGGTTCCCGAGGGGGCGTACGCGCAGGGCAAGCTTGTGGCTGACCTGGTTGCGGAAGAGGCGGCGCGACGCAGCGGGACGAGAGCGGCGGTGGTACGGGTCGGACAGATTGCGGGCTCGGAGGACGCGGCCGGGTCATGGAATCGGGACGAGTGGTTGCCGCGTCTGGTTGCGTCGTCGGTGAGGGTTCTCGGAGTGCTGCCGCGGGATCTGGGGATCATGAGCACGGTGAACTGGGTGACGGCGCAGGGGGCGGCGCGGGTGGTGCTTGAGGCGGCGGAGGTGACGGGCCCGGACCTGGGGCCGGAGCGGGCGCGTGCCGGCAGTGGCGGTGGTGTGGATTACTACTACGCCGTGAACCCGCGTCCTGGGCACTTTTCCCAGTTGAGCGGAGCGATGAAGGAGTTTTATGGCGGGCGGGTTAGGGACTTGGTGTCGTGGGGGCAGTGGGTGGCAGCCTTGGAAGCGAGCGCGGAACGGGAGAGTGAGGACGGAACGGAAAATCCGGCGCTGCAGTTGCTGGACTTCTTCAAAGGCACGCCGGGGGAAGACGCGTTGGGGGAGGTCCGGTTCACCTTCTCGCTGGACGAGACTCTTGCGGCCAGTCAGAGCTTGAGGGAGATGCAACCCATCACACCTGAGCTGATGGTGCAATGGTGTCGTCAGTGGGACTTTTAGATAAGTGCTGTGTGAATCGCTCCAATCTGGTCGGTTAAAGTGTCCTGTATAACCGCTCAATTCCGAGAAAGAGACATGTCATGAGATTTTTTGCATTTAGCCGAATGATCCATTGAGTAGGTTTTCGCGTGATAGCACCGAGACGCATCAGAATAAGTGGTATTAATTGACACGTTAATCGAAGCTGGTAACAGCTATTAGCAACACAAAGCACAAAGAGGCTTGGACTCAACGCAATCCTTACTGGGGCACGCACATAACGCATCTTGTTAGAGTGTAAGTAGCAACAGGTAAAGGGTGCCCAAAATCATCTTTTGCCAATTTGACCAATGTTCTGGAGCAACCTGGGCGGGCAGCCCGATCGGCTGGCTGCTGAAAACCGCCTCTATCAACACCAATGCAGCAGGTAGTGACTACGCTTATTCCCCCTACTTCCATCTAATATAACATACCGTGTACTGTATCCCTACTTTAGATAGTCGAGGTAAGCTAGTCAGCCTGCCTTGCCCAGCCTGGTCCAGCCTAGCTAACTAGCATATGGTAGTAGATCAACCAGTTCACTTGGAAGGACAATGCCCTCGTTCTCTTCCTGTTACGTGTCTCCCAGAATGGCCAGGACGTTGTTTGCAGCTGCCACCGCCTAGGTAGGGATCCCGCGGCTAACCCTGGGTGGAAGAGAGTGAAAACCCACCATATACCTATTGGGGCAGTAAGAGGGTTCTATGCGAATGCGACTGATAGGATACGTCCAGTAGCTTTGAAAGTATGAAACTACCTTCACTTGTTGCGGTCCACAGATTCCATGCAGGTTACGGTATCATTATTACCTAGTAGCCAGCCGATCAGTCCGTTCCAGCCATCAGCATGGCCCACACTTCAACAACTATTAAGACCGGGGGTTAATTAAAGCATGTGCCGCAGGGTCTTTCTATTTTGACTTTATTACCCAGGGGTGCTAGTCAGTACTGTTGAGCTAAACACCCCCTCCTCACGGAGCGGTGAAAAAATAGGGTTACTACTTAAGGTATCTTAAATAACTTCTTATATTAAGGGTTTTAATAAAAACAAGAAATACTTAGAATTACTATAGAGAATCTACTTAATTTCTATACTATAGAGTATTTATTTTATAGTTATATATACTTTTAGCTAAAGAAGTATTTCTATTTTTTAAAATATTAAAACTAGTATTATAGTATTAAGAGGTTTTATGTAGCATATAGCTATAGCTTATATATTATATAAGCTAAGTATAGCTTACTTTTTAATAAGTATATAAGAACTACTTTTTAAAAGTAAGTAAATTATAAAACTAAGATTAGTAGTGTCTTTACTAATAAAAAGAATTCTTAAAAACATACTTTACTTTATAACATAATTTAAGTAAAGTAATACTATATATATAATACGTAGTTAAAAAATAATAGTATATATAGCCTTATATATACTTTATTATACTTAGTACTTTATTATAAGGCTGATATAGTATAATAGACTAATATAGTGCTAGCTTTTCTTAATTAAATTAATTCTTATTACTAAGAAATAGGTAATAAAACTAAATCCTTTAGGATATAAAATTATTATATAATAAGTAAGTATGACTAAAAAAAATGACTATTTTACTAAGTTTTAAAAAATTTCTAAAAATACTAATAGAGTTATACTCCTAACTTCTCTCTATAGCTTATTAAAGTGCTTTTAGTTAAAGTAATAAACTATATAATCTTATATATATATAGTATTTTAAGTTATATTATTAATACTAGCTATATATAAATAATGAAATTTTTAAGCTTAAATAATTAGGCGCTAAATTCAAGTTTAGTCTTAAACTTAAATAGTTATAAAAGAAACTACTAGTAGTAGCCCCTTTCTCTATATAATAACCCTGGTTTTTACCCCTTGCGTGAGCAAGGGGTTCTTAGCGCAGCGATATAATGACGAACACCCCTGGGTAGTGGCGTGACACAACCAATCCGAACTATCCGGACTGTCCGGACTGACATGGATTGCTCGCAGTAATATATGCCTGACTCTGGTAGTATCAGTTTTGGGTTGATAATCACACAATAACCTGAACATCTCTTAGGAATAGAAGCAACTGCCTGGCTAGACATTTTTTGAATCGCTCGCAAGCCAACAGCTCTAGTTATACAACCAAACAAGAGAAAAAGCAAAGCAAGATCAAACATGCTTTTACGCAACCGCTGGCTCCACGAGTACTTTTATACTCCTCAGGCATGGTATATTATTACGGCCTTTGTCGTCATACTCCTCACTCGTCTTTTAAGGAGGTCGTCATCAGTGGACGACATACCGCTCATCAACCCCAAAAAAGGATGGGAAATCACCAAGTCTGGTGCCCAGCGCCGCTTCCTCAAGAATGCGAGAGCCATGATGGACAAGGCCTTGAGCGACTTCCCCGAGAGACCTTTCCGGGTGTTTTGCGGGTTTGGCGAAGTCATCATCCTTCCCGCGGAACGCATCAACGAGATTCGGAACGACCATCGATTCAAATTTTCCCTCGGTCCCGGCCCCGTGCGTCTAACCCTCCCGAGCCTTGGTCGGACTTCTCCGGTGCGCTAACCATCTCCAGACGTTACAATATCCCGGCTTTGAGGCCGCTAATCGTTGTCTTGATGACGTCGGCCTGTTCGACGTCATTAAGCTTGACCTGACGAGACATCTTGGTAACCCTGCAGCCCATCATCAGCGGTGAAACGGGTGCTGATCTGTAACGGGCACCTTCAGGCAACATGACAGAAGCCATTACAGACGCGACTGGAGACGCCATAAAGAAGATCTTCCACGACTCGACTGGTGAGCGTCATCGCAACATGGGGATCCTTCACAACCACTGACTCTACTCGCGGACAGAGTGGCGCGATATCCGGTTGAAGCAGGACGTGCTGCAACTCATCGGCCGCGTCTCGTCACGCCAATTCGTCGGCGAAGAGCTCCATGGCACCGACGAGTGGCTTAAAGTATCCCTCGACTACGCCAACAACATCTTCGTCGCCGCCTTCTTTCTGGGGCTTGTGCCACCCCTTCTGCGCCCCATTGCACACTGGTTCATTCCTCAGTGCCGGGCGCTCCGCGTCGGCATGCGCGAGGCCCGGAAATTGTCAAGGGAAATTTTGGCGAAGCGTCGGAATGACAATGAAGAGCTCAGAGCACGTGGCGAACCCCAAGTCGTCTACAATGATATTTTCGGGTGGAGCGAGATCAGGTCTGGAAGTCAACCCCATTACGACCCCGCCGCCAGCTTGATGGCCCTGTCGATTCTTGCGCTGCACACAACCGCGGACCTCCTCTGCCGCACCCTCCTTGACCTGGCCGAGAGGCCCGAGCTAGTTGAGGAGTTGCGCCAGGAAATGATCAAAGCCTTGTCGGACAAAGGCTGGAAGATGGATGCGCTCCACGAGATGAGGCTTCTTGACAGCGTCATCAAAGAGTCGCTACGGCTGGATCCCGGTGCCCTGAGTGAGAAATACCCGAGTGTCGAAGGGGGCAAATACTTACTAATCATCTGCCATTGCACAGCCAGTTTGAGCCGTGTCCTAGACGAGGAGGTACGACTTTCGGATGGGACGGTACTGCCCAAGGGCAGCCAAACCCTGATCCCCTCATATCGCCAGTGGGACCCGGCCTTATATGAGAACCCCGATGTGTACGACCCTTACCGTTTCCTCAGGATGCGGCAGGAGAAGGGTAAGGAGAAGTCGTCGCTTCTTGTGAGCACCACGGAGAACTTCACGTCCTTTGGGCACGGTGTACTCGCCTGCCCAGGACGATTCTTCGCCGCGAGCGAAATCAAGATCGCTCTCGTTCATCTGCTGCTCGGGTATGACTTCCGACCTGCCTCGGGGTACAAGAGGCAAAATGTGTGCTTCGATTTTGTAGAGCAGTTCGACCCCGACAGCAGGATTTGCATGCGCAGGCGGCAGGTACCGGTTGACCTGCATCGGTTTGCCCGGTCCTAAGACTGGGAAAAGATATACAACCTGGGCGAAGTCTGTTAGATGTAGAATAAAACGTATTATCTAGATATTATCTTACTAAAGGTAGTACAATGATAGCGAGAAGATGCCCATTAGAATAATGGCAATAAGTATGACCAAAGTATATGAGACGTATAATTATAATATATCGTTCATCAGTAAACATCTATTATATAATGATCCGTCGTTGGCTCGTCTGGCCGGTCCTGACCGAATCCATTATACTTGGCTGCCTATCAGCGGGTAGTCCTACTATCAGATATCAAACCGTAAAACCCTTATGGGGAAAGTGAACATGCTGCTACATTTCCCTACTTTAGGTAGGAATATCCAGTCCAACTACATTGCTAACACTGATCCGACGGGTGAGCAGTGGGACCGGCGTCAAATATATCATCAAAAATAACAATAACAAAAACAACAACAGCTTGTTATAATAGCATTACTACTCTCTCTCTAGTCTATAAGTCTAGACATGGACATTCCGTCGAACAGCGGCAGTAGCAAATTTTCCAAGCGTTTGTTGGTGGCTACCTTTGTGTTGAAGCTGTTTAGAGCCTCCATGTCCTTGTCGGACCAAAGGCCAATCTTCTTAAACCTTTCGGCCCAAGGGTTATCGTCGGAGCTGTTGGCCACGAGACCACGGCGGATGACGTTGTCGGCGATGATGATGCCACCGGGACGAAGAAGCCGGGGCTCGACGCCGCGCTGCGACCTTTCCAAGATGAGATCCAGGTAGGCGGGGTAGCGATCCTTGTCGGCGTCGATGAAGATGATATCGAAGGGCTCGGATGGGGAGAGCTGTCCAAGCCTAGAGGGAGAGAGAGGAGGTGTGTGGGTTAGTCGGGCCTTTCAGACAGTGGGAGGAAGAAAGAGGCCGTGTGGCAGACAACGTACAGCTCTGCAGCATCGCCCTCGACGACCTCGACGTTCTGGATGCCGCTGTCGGCCGCAATCTTGCGGGATTGGCTCGCGTACTCGGGCGAGAGCTCGAGGCCCACGACCTTGCCGTCTGGGCCGACGGCGTCAGCCCAGACGAGGCTAGTGAAGCCCATATAGACGCCGATCTCCAGCACTGGCACGGTACATGTGTCAGCTATTGTAAACGGCAGCAGGACTGACAAACAACAAAACAGCAACAAATCGAGACACATATATACAAAGAGGCAAAGGAGGGCGCGATTGTTTGGTGGTTTACCTCTCTTTGCGTCAATGGCACGGGCGAACCAGTGTAGCGACTTGCCCTGGAAGACAGAGCTGGTCATCATGGCCATGCGGCCCTGAGTTTCGTAGATCCAGGCATGGTATTGTTGAATGTGCGGGGGGAGGGTCAGCGACTTTTCGCGTGCGTAGTTGTAGACGCTCTCGCCAACGATCGGGTTGGGATAGAGCACGGCGCTTTCGTTGTCCATCGTTGAATCGTGTTTCGTGGAGGTGGACGAGGGTGTTCGGTCCGGCCGGAAAACTTGACATATGTCGGCAACAGGACAACCAAAAATATGGCCACTGAAAACCAGCGATAGTCGCGGGATATCAGGTGATGATACAGCAGGCCAAGGATGTGCTCAGTCACACAACTGGTATGCTTTCCATAGAGACTAGCTTACTTGGCACAACCAGGCATGGCGCACGCAAGCGGCTACGGACTGGACGGAGTGCGAAACCACCCCGCTGGCCGAACCGTATGAGGTGTTGATAATAGTGGGTAAGATTAAGACGGCGATCCATTAGACCCAAAACATCAAGAAGTAAGAAGTTTAAATCTACTCCGACGTAGTATCACTTGGCACTAGGTACCCCTACACCGTAACGTGCCGAGTTTCCGTGATAGTGAGCTGGTGCCGACGGGCGGGTCCGTCTACCCCCGGCCGTATCCAACCCGCGGGACCCTAAAGTTTTCCGATGGTTTGGGAGGTACCCCCCGGTCTCCGTGCTGCTCTCTAAGGGGCCCCTTGTACGGGTAAGCCAGGAGGGGTTTGAGCGATTGCTGGGATTCCTTGACGTGTACAGAGTAACTGTCAATGAACTTTAAATGAGCGAGTCATGCTACGGAGCGAGTACCCTGGGCATACTATGTAGCACTGCATGTACGACACCTTCCCTCACGGACTTTACCTTTTAAACCTTAATTGGTGGACTCATTGCATCAAGCCAGTATACTTGACTAGGCCAGATATGCTGTAACTGCAAGTCGGACCGCACTGGAACGAGTAGAACAGAATAACCCACCCGCACCCGCATAACGTCTTGGCAAGTCGGCGAGAGGGACACATTTCTTCTCGTGCTCCGTCCACCAAGTACCAGCAGCCTCGCCGGAGAAAGAGTAAACAAGCGAGCAAGCTAGCAAGCCGGACCTAGGTGTGCGTCGCCATGGAATCCCACACGCCCTTGAAAGTCGTCATTATCGGTGCAGGCATCGGCGGCCTGATGGCCGCTTGCGCCCTCCGAGAGGCCGGCCAAGACGTCCATGTGAGTGAGAGAGAGAGAGAGACAAAGATTTGTTTTTGTGACAAGGATGCAGACCACATTCCATCCAGATCACGGCTAATGTGCTTCCTCAGGTCTACGAACAGTCCCGGCTGGTCAACGAGAGAGGTGCCGCCATTACCCTCCAGCCAAACTCGACCACTCTGCTCCGTCGCTATGGCATGGAGCCCGAGGACTCTGGAGCCACGCCGATGGAGAACGTGAGTACCGAATGCAGGCCTTATCCGCAAGAAAAAGGGGAGCTTACTAACACGGAGAACGCGGTTTCCAGATCATGATGAGAGACGGCGCCACACTGGATGTCATGCAGGAGATAACCGAAGAGGTCAAGGCGGCCACCCTGTCCGAGGAGCGTGCGCAGAAGTGTTACTTCATTCACAGAGCCGACCTCCACGACAGGCTGAAGAAGAAGGCCACTGACTTGGGTGCCTTCATCCACCCTGCCAGCGAGATGACAAACGTCGACGAGGACACCAGCACTGTCACCTTCGCCGACGGCACCGCCACCACGGCCGACGTGATCATCGGCGCCGACGGCGTTCACTCTCGCACCCGCAAGGCCGTCCTTGGCGACGTCTACCAAGAGCAGCCCTCAGCTCTGAGCTGTTTTCGCTTCCTGATCCGCACCGAGGCCCTCCGCGAAGATCCCGAAACCCGTACTTTCATCGAGAAGCCCGGCAGCATGATGGACCTAGTCGGTCCCGACAGGCGCATTATTCTGTACCCATGCTCCCTCGGCGAGTACATCAACGTCCTCCCCATCGTCCCCCGCCGCCTAGCCGAAGGTGCGTCCTGCGCCGTGCTCCTCTTCTATCGAGGACCCTCCTGCTGGTTGCTATCATCACAAGCTAACGCGCCAGATTGGACGAAACTACAGCTCCCGGCCCCAGCAAGGAGAAGCTGCTCTCTGCCTTTTCCGACTTCGCGTCGCCCGTCCGCCGCATGCTGGACAAGGTCGACCAGCAGAGCATCACTTTGTGGCCCCTGTTTGACATGAACATCCTGCCCATCTGGACCAAGAACTCGGTTGCTCTCCTCGGCGATGCCGCCCATCCCTTTACGCCCTGTGAGACTTTGAGCCCCTGCCAACACACACACACATAGACCTACACTTTGCTTGCACCTTTCTGGTTGGGAATACTAACATGGCTTTTCCCAAACGCAGTCCTCGCCCAAGGCGCCAGCTCGGCAATGGAAGACGCCGTCTCCCTGGCCGTCATGCTCCCCTTCGGGACCAAGCCGGCCCAGGTGCCCAGCAGGCTGCAGCTCTACGAGCGCTGCCGCAAGGCTAGGGTCGACCGCATCCAGGAGCTCAGCCGCGTGCGTGGAAGAGACGCATCCGGTGAGCGAGGAAAGCCGCCAACCGGTAGGTCGAGCCTTGTCCCATCATCCCATTCCCTCGGAGAGATACGCACGCTTAACAAAGTGAAACAACAACAGGAAACGAGATTTTCGGTTTCGCCATGTACTGCAAGAAACACGACGAGTACCTTCACTCGAGCAAGTTCCTCGAGGTGTTTGACACGCCGTTTGAGCCCCTGCGGCAGCCGCCGCCTGCACGCAGCTCTTAGACCGTGTCTTTTTTTCTTTGGGCCAATGGGTAAATCTTTCGTCGGGTAGCGACAATTGCATCTTGACTGATGTCAAAGTCCAAGTCTACGTCTGCGCCCTAATAAACGTAAATCGGCGTATATATCTGTCTTCGTAGTGGTTCTGTTGTGACTCAAAACTTGTGATAGGAAACTGTCGTCTGATGTAAACATGGAGGCATATAAAACCAGGCAAGAACGCTCGCGATGGTTAATGCTCGTTGTATTGTTACACTTGGTAATCATGGATAACTGTGAGGAATCCTCACAACGTACTTCATAGTTATTACCACCTTCTTTCAGGCCCCTAGAAATCTCCCATTTCCCCTCTCTTCCCGTGATACAAATTCAAACTGCTCCATATCCACGTTGAGTCTTGTTATGCTTAGCCCCGATGTCCTAGTATCTAGAGGCGTTATGATTGCTGCCTGTGAATAAATATATTGTAAACCATATAGCTGCGCGCGTCCGCGTCATCTTTATGCACTAGCACTGCCCAAGCCAGATACATTGCACAAGTTGTAAGTGGGTATGAACTGGACTTGTATCATTTCAGAAACTCATCCCATTTGCTCTCCCTCGGCCATGCATCCCCACCCTTCTTCATGACCCTCCCTACCTAACAGCCCCCCCCTTCTGGCTCAGCGCAACCTCCAATAATGACATTAGGCTCCCCACAGGCTTCACGACATTGCAGATAGAGAAACGGGCGTCAGCCCGCCGGAACAGAGCCTCGAACTCGCCCAGGTCGCGCTCCTTGGCGTTGGTCATCAGCGCCATCTGCAGGTCCATGGAGCGCATTGGCCGCTCCACGACGGAGGGCCACTCTCTCGAGGGCGGGAGAACCGTGTCCATGACGAGAAGCCGGGCGGCGGGGCGGCCCTCTAGAGCCGCGGCTATGTGGCGTAGGATCTCGACGCACTTGTCGTCGGACCAATCGTGCAGGATCATGCGCAACAGGTAGATGTCGGCATCGGTGACGGGCTGAGGCGCGAAGAGGTCGTGTTCCATGAAGGCGAGGCGGCCGCTCTCGATCAGTGCCACGGGGACAGCGTCATTGTCGCGGCCGCGGGCGCGGGCGACCACCTCGGGCAGGTCCTGGACGACGAAGGTCATGCGCTGGTCGGCGACGGCGGCGACCTGGGCACTGCAGTGGCCGACGTTGCCGCCCATGTCGACCATCTTGGCCGGGCCTAGAGAGGCCCAGGGGAAGGCGTTGATGAGGTGCTCGCCGGACTGGAAGCGCGACGTAGCCATGAAGGCCATCAGGTCTCCAAATTCGCTCATCTTGGCCGGGTTCTCGGCGAAGTAGGCGAAGAGGGGCTTTTCGGTGGCAAAGGCGATGTTGTGCGCCGCCTTGTCGGGCTCGACGCAGTCGTGGCCCCAGCGGTCGATGGCGTCGAGCTGGAAGGCGGCCAGCCTGAGTGTGTCCCTGCTGACGAACTCGTTGTAGAGGCGGACGCCCCGGGAGTCGACGAGGCGCCTGGAGCTGGCCGTGTGCGCGACGCGGCCGGGCTGGGGCTCGACGAAGACGTGCAGGGTCATGAGGTGACGCAGGGCCCTCTTGAGCTGGCCGAGGCCGGTTCCCGTCTTGGAGGCAAGATCCGGGTAGGAGATGGCGCCATGGACAGGGACGTGTTGGGCGATTTGGAAGCGAGACACGTAGGCGAAGGCGTTGAGGTCGTGAACCTTGTTGAACAGGTCCTCTGTCAAGACGTCGTCCGGCTCCGAGGCCAACTCCAGCAGCGTCTTGGCAGCCTCGCGGAGCTGCTGTCTGGTCACCTCGGTCTCGGGGTCCAGCGAGGGGTACTCAATCGGGCCGGTGACTTCGAACGAGGGCTGTGGGTGGCCGTTGGACGCCAGGTGGTGTTTGAGTTTCTTCGCTAGCGCAAGGCACTCTGCTCCCAGCGTCTCGAGGTCCACCCGAGAGGAGGAGGACTGGCACTGGTGGGGGGTTGTCGACGCCATAAGACTTGTGCGTTTGTTCTGCGTAACCGAATAGTACGGGATTGTATGGGTGTGGTAGGAAGACGGGCTGGAGTAAAGGAGTGAGGGTGTGTGTGTGTGTGTGTGTGTATGTGTGTGTGATTTATGTCTGTCAAATCGTCTGCCCCGCTTCCAAGAAACCGATACTTGCTATGTCACGAAGAAGCAGCATAATAATATTGGAAGCAACGTGGATCCGGCCTTTGGAGTGACAATGCGATGTGACCGCAGAACTTCTATCATCAAAGTATTATTGATACGGCTGATGGTAACGACTTTTGGGAGATTGAGTTGGTACTCTGCTGACTTGGCCTTGGTCCTGCAATCCGGAATTACGCCTGGTAACCGCAACCACGTTATGCCAGTCGGACAACAAGAAGAGCGCGAGATGCCGACATAATATGCCGCAACGGATTGTGCGGTTGCTACCTGGCCCCCGCATGTTGTCTTTGTCGTCTCATCATCGTCGTGCCCGGGCAGTGGCTCTTGTAATTAAACGGTATTACGAATTCGCTCACTTATGCCCTCCAAATGGTTCGATTTCGGCCCGTGCAGATATCCCTGCTAGTCTCGGTTCCAGACATCGACGACGCTGCACAAGGTACAGGGCCTCTACATACCTACTGGCACCTGGGAGGACCCTTGTGGATTCGAGCCTCGTATACGCCATACTAAGTTTGAATAGAACCTCGTCAACAACACAGGGGACCCCCGGCGTGCAGGGTATTAACGGCTGAACGAACGGTAAAGGCAGATAGACTGGAACGAAGGCCTACGATAGCTACAACTGTTGGTACAAGTAGGAATGGTGGCCCGAAGCGGTCACCAGATGCTTCACGAAGCGCAACAAAACACCTGTACCCAACCTCACGCCCATTTACTCACTACCAGGGCACAACCCGTTTCTCTTCAATTTCCCCTGTTCACCCTCCCACCCCTTCTCCGTGACTTGCAACTCGCCGCCACCGACGGTCCTTGCGTCCTTCCGAGCCATTATTATGCCCAAGTCTCCCATTGCTGTTGTCGGGCTGGCATGTCGCCTCCCGGACGAAGCTTCTTCTCCGGAGGAATTCTGGAAGCTGCTGCTAGAACAAAGAGGTAAGTGGCTTCTAAGCGGGACTCTCCCTTGTGATATGGGTCATGTTCGACGGACTGAGGCGGATTGACGGACGCCTCCATCAGATACACTCTCGGTGCCTCACAATCGATGGAACACGGATGCATTCCACCACCCTGGGCGCAACAAGCCGCAAACCATTGCGGCGAGGAGCGCCCATTTCTTAAAGAGAGACGTGATGGCATTTGACGCAGCCTTTTTCAACATCAACGCTAGCGAGGCCGTCGCCCTGGACCCCCAACAGCGCTTCGTGCTCGAGGTCACCTACGAAGCCCTGGAGAGCGCCGGCCTCACCATGGCCGGCGTCTCGGGCTCACGGACGGGTTGCTACGTTGGCTTCTCGTCCTGCGACTACCGCGACTCCATCCTCCGGGACACGGAGACGTCGCCCCGCTACACCGACCTCGGCACCCACGCCGAAATGCTGTCTAACCGCACCTCGTGGTTCTACAACCTGAAGGGCCCTAGCATGACAGTGTCTACGGCCTGCTCGTCCAGCCTCGTCGCCGTTCACATGGCATGCCAGAGTCTGTTGGCCGGCGAGACCGACTTGGCCGTCGCCGGCGGCGTGAATCTCATGCTGAACCCCGAGTGCGGCATCTACCTGAGCAGCCTGACCATGATCTCTCCCGAAGGTCACTGCAAGTCGTTCGACGCCTCCGGGGACGGCTACGGCCGCGGCGAGGGCTGTGGCATGGTCGTTCTCAAGCGCCTCGACGACGCCCTCAGGGACGGCGACCCCATCCGCGCTGTCATCCCTGGCACCGGCGTCAACTCGGACGGCTTCACTCAGGGGTTTACCATGCCCAGCTCCGAGTCGCAGGCGGCGTTGATCAGAGACGTGTACGAGGGTGCAGAGTTGGACATGAGTGACACGCAGTTTGTCGAGTGCCACGTAAGATGGAAATCCCGCACCTGGCCCATTGCGAGCCGACCTTGCCTGCTAGTTCCACTCGCTTACCTTTTGCGCGTTTTTCCCGCTTCTTTTAGGGAACTGGGACGAAGGCCGGCGATCCCATTGAGACGAGAGCAATCTATGAGACACTCGGCAAGAAAGCAAGCAGCTCGCAGCCGCTCATCATCGGCAGCGTAAAACCCAGCGTATGAACCGACCCGACCCGCTCCCAACTTGCTCTATCTAGAGATGTAACGACTGACTAACACACCCCATCTTTGCGGTGAGTAGATTGGCCACTTGGAGGGCGCATCCGGCGTGGCGGCGCTCATCAAGTCGATCCTGGCCCTCGAGAAGGGATACATCCCGCCGCAGATGTTCTTCAGCACACCTAACCCCAAGATCCCGCTGCGAGAGTGGAATCTCTCGGTCCCGACAGCCCTCATGCCGTGGCCCAAGACGAACGGTCCCAGGCGGGCGAGCATCAACAACTTTGGTGTCGGCGGGACCAACTGTCACGTCATCATCGAAGAAGGCATCCCCCCCCGGGGCCGGCAGCACCAGCCCGCTCTAGACTCCTCGGCAGCAGCTGCGCACGACAGGAAAAAGCGCCTCTTTGTCATCAGCAGCCAGGACCAGAAGGGCCTTGTCCGCGTGGCCCAGTCGATTGCGGACTATCTCGGCAACAAATCTACACATGCCAACGCCACCACCCGTGCCGCCGACCTCGCGTATACCTTGGGGAACAAGCGCTCGAGGTTCTCGTGGAAGAAGTCTTGCATCGCTACCGACCTCGAGGACCTGCGATCTCGTCTCCTTGCGATGACAAGCGACGGCGCCGTCAGGTCTCACGCCGCCCCGCGCATCGGCTTCGTCTTCACGGGACAGGGCGCACAGTGGCCGCTGATGGGCCTTGAACTAATGAGTGAGTTTCCCTGTCCTGGGCCGTCTATATGCGTATACCTGTATAGGTATATGTACTTGATGACATGTCGACGTCCTCGAACCCTTGCCCTAACCCTTGTGAACCAGAATTCGACGTCTACAAAGCCTCTTTCGAAAAGTGCCAGGGCTACCTCGCCGAGCTGGGCTGTTCTTGGGACGCTGCCGAGGAGCTTCGGAGGCCGGCCGAGACAACCCGTATCAAGTCACCCGAGCTAAGCCAGCCGCTCTGCACCATCCTCCAGATCGGTCTCGCCGACCTGCTGATGTCCTGGGGCGTCCGTCCCGCCAGGGTCGTGGGCCACTCAAGCGGCGAGATCGCCGCTGCCTACTGCGCTGGCCATCTAACCGCGCGGGACGCTGTCGAGGTAGCCTACCTCCGAGGCAAGTTCTCCGCAGGCCTTTCCTCCATGGCCCCCGGGCGGAAGGGTGGCATGCTGGCGGTCGGCTGCTCGCAGGATGAGGCCGAGAAGCTCATCTCCAACGTCACGTCCGGGCGGCTGGCTGTCGCTTGCGTCAACTCGCCCTTCAACGTTACGATATCCGGCGACGCCGCCGCAATCGAGGAGCTGCACGAGAAGCTGCGAGCCACGTCAATGTTTGCCGCCCGTCTCAAAGTCGAGGTCGCCTACCACTCGGAGCACATGGAGACCATCTACCCGGGCTACGTCCAGTCGCTCAGGCACATCCGTCCAAGCGCGGGCGGCCTTCCGCCGGACGTCCCCAAGGATGTCATCACCATGGTGTCGAGCGTCGAGGCCGCCGAGGTCGACCCGGAAGCGCTCGGAGCATTCTACTGGGGCCGCAACCTCGTCTCGCCAGTCCTATTCTCCGATGCCCTGCGCCAACTTGTCTGTCCGGCCGCCGAGGGGTCCGTCGACGCCGACGGCAGCGCTAGCGTCATCGACCTCCTGATAGAGATAGGACCACACCCCGCCCTGAAGCAGAGCGTAAAGGAAATACTTGCGACCTCCGGCGTCAAGGGCATCGGCTACCTGCCTTCCCTGTCGCGGGGCATGAATGACGAGGACATGGCGCTTTCGTTGGCTGGGAACCTCTTCGCGGCGGGGGCAGCCGTGGACGTGTCCAAGGTCAACGGCGACTCGGGCGCGGCCATGCTCACCGACCTGCCGCCGTACCCGTGGCAGCACTCGCGCAAGTTCGACGCGACCCCGCGCATAGGTCGCGAGCACAACATGCGTCCTCACCCGCAGTACGGCCTGCTGGGCGCCCCGATGCCCTCCGTCAACCCCGACGAGCACGTCTGGCGCGGATACGTCCGCCTTGACCAGGAGAGTTGGGTGCGCGACCACAAGATCACTGGCGTCATCGTCTATCCTGGGGCGGGGCTCGTCGCCATGGCCCTGGAGGGAGCGCGACAGCTAGCCGAGGCCGGTCGTGCGGTCCGGGTCTACAAGCTGCGCGACGTCTCCATCGGGTCGGCTGCCATCATGAACGAGGACAGGCCGACCGAGTTTGTCCTCCACGTCCGCCCGCACCTGCTCGGCACCGCCGGCTCCGCGCCGAGCGCGTGGCTCGAATTCACCATCTCGTCGTCGGGAGGGCCCGATATGCCGCTGCGCCAGAACTGCCGCGGTCTTCTGCGCATAGAGTATGAGGCCGATGACGGCAGCGCTGCGAGCCGCGAAGAGGAAGCCGCCGCCGCCGCCTGTCTAGCCGAGTACGAGGCGGCGGCCGCCGCCTGCGTAGAGGAGCTGCCCATGAGCGACTTTTACCCTGATTTGGCCAAGGTCGGGCTCGGGTTCGGCACGACTTTTCAGAACATGAAGAAGCTCCACTATCGACCGGGCGAGTCGGTGTACGACCTAGCCATCGGTGATCCGGGCGAGTCCTTCGACACGGGGCGCACCGGGCGGCGTACGCACCTGATACACCCGACGACGCTGGATTCGACCGCCTCGGCGTCGTTCGCGGCGTGCTACAGGGGTCCCGGGGAGCCGCCTGAAAGGCCGTATATACCCGTGTTCATCAGCGAGTTTGAGATCTCGGCTGATATTCCCTTCGAGGCGGGCACGCCTGTCAAGGGGTTCGCGAGGGCCAAGAGGCGCGGCATCAACGAGATGGAGTCCGAAGTCTACATGTTTGATAAGGCGCTGTCCAAGTGCTACCTCTCCATCCGCGGGTATCGGGCTACCAGCGACATCGCGTCCGACGCGAGCAGCGCCGGGGAGGACCGGTCAGAGGCGTCGCCGGGTCTGTGTTATTCCACGCGGTGGGAGACGGCCTTTGGGTTGCTCACCAATGAAGAGCTCCGCGTCGTTGCTGCGAGTGCCGGGCTGACACCAGACGACAAGCTGGAAAAGGTAATATGTTGATTGCTTGACAAGATATACGAGGATGCCATTCTCTATACAGCGAGTCTGGACTACTTGTGCACGAACACCGAAACCACCCATGTACACAAGCCTGTGTTTGCAGGAGTAGCATTGCTAACGGGATGATAGATTGCCCAAATGATCCTCCACGAGCACCCCGACACAACCATACTCGAGGTCCTAGCCAAGCAACACGAGTCTTCGGCCAAGGACAACACGGTGCTAGGCCGTCTCTCGCTGAGCCGGCCGGACCAGGCGAGGCATGCCGTCATCGGCGACACGGCAGCGGCATCCGGCGATTCGAGCAGAGAGGTTCTGCGGCTCAAGCCCGGACAGCCAGCCGACACCACCTTCGACCTCATCCTCGCGGGGCAGGCCTGCAGGGACCTGATGTGCGGCGACGCCGACCTCGGTCTTCTATTGGAGCACGTCAAGCCCGGCGGGCGTCTCATCTGCGGGTTCGACTGCGAGGGGCTCGACAAGTCGAAGCTTCCGGAAGGTTGCCGTGTTGACGATTTGTCCTTGGACGCCGCCGCCGAAGCAGGGATGACGCTGATCACTGCTCCCCCGGTCGTTGCGGACCCCGACCCCGGCGCTTTTCCGGTAAAGGGCAATAGAGTAACCATAGTGGAGCCGCCAATGCCGAGCGGCGCCGTTCAAAGGTTCTCGACCGCCTTGGCAGAGCTTCTTCAAAAGACCAAAGGACTCGAGACCAGAACTGTACCCTGGACGCCGGAGCTGGCGACGGCGGTCCTTTCGGAGCGCGTCGTGTGCTTGCTGGAGTTAGAGAAGGCCTCGATGGACAACCTTTCCGAGCCCGACTTCGGTCTCGTCAAGGACATGATTGTCAAGGCGGCGAGTCTGCTGTGGGTGACGGCGCTAAAGAACGACCCGGCGGCGTCCGTCATCGAGGGCGCACTACGCGTCGCTCGGAGAGAGCTGGGCAACCCCGAGCTCAAGACGCTACATCTTTCCGGTCTCGATCGCGGGCCGGAGCTGGCAACCAGGGTGCTCGGCAGCTCCACCAAGGACACCGAGTTCATTGAGGACGGGAATGGCATGCTCAAGGTGAGCAGGGTCTTGGAGGACAACGGACTCAGCGCCGAGGTCGCGTCCTACGCCGGCACGGAGACGCAGATGGCGTCGATCAAGACGTGCGGGTTTCCGCTGCGTCTCGGTATTTCCAGGCCCGGCCTGTTGGACACACTGCGCTTCGGGCCGCAGGAGGACGTGGGCCAGCTCAAGGAGGACGAAGTCGAGATCCATATCAAGGCGTCCGGGATGAAGTGAGTCGTGTCCCCCATCGTGTCCTACCAGCCTCGCGCCAGGCGAAGGTTTTAGTTTTCATCTAACCTCCAATTCCCAGTTTCCGAGACGTCATGATCTCCATGGGGCTCATCGCAGACCCCCGTCTGGGCTACGAGGGCGCCGGCGTCGTCCTCAGGACGGGAAGCAAGGTGACCAGCGTCAAGCCAGGCGACCGCGTCAGTGCCCACATCTTGGGCTCCCACGCCACCAGGGCCCGCACGCTTGACATCATGTGCGCCCGCATGGCGGACGAGATGTCCTTCGCTGAGGGCGCGTCGTTCCCGTGCGTCTTCACTACGGCCTACCACGCCCTAGTCAACCTCGCCCGGCTACGCGCGGGGCAGTCGGTACTGATCCACGCCGCGGCCGGAGGCGTCGGCCAGGCCGCCGTTCAGCTGGCCTGCGATATGGGCCTCACAATCTACGCGACGGTCGGATCTGCGGCCAAGAAGGCTCTCCTGATGGAGCAATACGGCATACAGGAGGCGCACATATTCAGCTCGCGCGACTCCAGCTTCGTCAAGGGCGTAAAACGCGTCACCGGTGGCCGCGGCGTCGACTGCGTGCTCAACTCACTTGCGGGTGAGCTGCTCCGTCAATCTATGGTATGACTGCCCCTCTGCCTCCCCCCCTACCCTACGTGCTCTGCGTCATTGGGTTAAAGTAGCTCACTACAAGTAGTACTGCCTCGCCCCCCTCGGAACGTTTGTAGAGATCGGAAGCCGCGACATCAGTGAGAACACGCGCCTCGACATGGCCCCATTCGCTGCTGGCATCACCTTCACTTCATTCACCCTTCTTCAGGTCCTCCAGCACGATCCGGGGCTTATGGCAGAGACTTGGCGTAAAACCTTTGACCTCGTTCGCAGAAAAGTCCTGCGCCCCCCCTCGCCTTTGACAATCATGCCTGTCCAATCTGTCAAGGAGGCCTTCCGCCTGATGCAGGGCGGCAAGCACAGCGGCAAGATCGTTCTCTCGCTCGAGCACGACGGCGACGTCCCCATCGTGCGGGATCCCAAGACCGCCCTACAGCTCGACCCAGCCTCCACATACCTGCTGGTCGGAGGCCTAGGTGGCCTGGGTCTGTCCCTGGCGCAGATGCTCGTCGACTCGGGCGCGCGCAACGTCGCCTTCATCTCGCGATCCGGCGACACGCAACCATCGGCCAAGGCCGCCATGGCCGCTATCTCCGCCTGCGCGCCGGGCATACAAGCCAGGGCGTACGCCGCCGACGTCAGCGACAAGGTGTCGCTGGCCGACGCTCTCGCTCGCTGCGGTGCCGAGCTGCCGCCGGTCCGGGGCGTCGTCCAGATGGCCATGGTTCTGCGCGACGGCGTCTTTGAGCAGATGTCGCACGACGGCTGGACGGCAGCCATCCGGCCCAAGGTTGACGGCACCCGCAACCTGCATGAGCACTTCGGGCCCGCCTATCCGCTCGACTTCTTCATCATGTGCTCGTCCATCTCGGGCGTTATCGGTAACCGCGGCCAGGCCAACTACGCCGCAGCCAATGCCTTCCAGGACGCTCTGGCCTACCACCGCCGCTCGCTGGGCCTGCGCGGCTGCGCCGTTGACCTGGGCATCATGCGAGACGTCGGCGTGTTGGCCGAGAAGGGCGCCGCGGGCGACCTGGTCAAGTGGGAGGAGCTGCTAGGCATCCGAGAGGCCACCTTCCACACGCTCATGAAGACCATCATCAACGGGGAGATGCGCCGGCCTCCGGCCGCCGAGTTCCCCGCACAGATCAGCGTGGGCCTTGCCACGGCTGGCGCCTTCGAAGCGGCGGGTCTGACCCTGCCCGATTGGCTTACGGCGGACGCCCGGTTTGGACACCTAGCCGCCGTGCGCTCCGGGGTTTCTCCAAAAGATGGGAGCGGCGGGGACGCCGCGCAGACGGCGGTAGCGTCTCTGCCGCGGCGGCTCGCGGGCTCCAGGACCAGGGACGAGGCTGTTGCTGCCGTCATTGACGGGCTGGTTGATAAGGTGTCTAATATCCTGTTGACGCCGGCGTCCGAGGTAGACCCCGGGCGGCCGCTCTACATGTACGGTGTAGACTCACTCGTGGCAATGGAGATCCGCAACTGGATTCACCGCGATGTGAAGTCGGATATCGCGCTGTTTGACGTCCTGGAGGCCGTGCCTATAACTAGTTTTGCGGACAAGGTGGTTAAGCGGTCTAAACTATGTGTTTTTAAAGATCTGTAAGACTTTGACATGATAGATATTACAGAGGGGCTTTTCAGGTGGGAAAGGATATAGGAAAACAGCTTAGTTATCTATATGAGGGATAAGGTGGTTTGTTACAAAGAAATATCTATCTATAAGTAGAGCCACCCTTCTAGAAGTAGATTAATAGTTGTTCTAGTTCTACTAAATTCCTATCTAAGGCTTTATAATACTATTAAAGTTGTTATATAGCAGTAACCCCCTACCTATAAGCTAGTAATAGGCTATATAAGTCGTGTTAATAGTAATACTTATGAGAGACACTTAAGTATTAGTAGACCTTTTACTTATATAGCTTAATTTATTAAATAGTAGGGATTATAATAGTTACTTAATTAATTCTATTATATGTTATGTAACTATAGTAAATTCCTATAGAAATAGGGGAAAACCCCTATTTCTTAGTTAGGAAATCCCTAGCTAATGCTAGCGATATTATTAGTAAAGTTACCCCTAAAAGTAGGACTAGTTTACTGCTTATTCCCTAACAATTTGCTATAGGGTAACTATATATTTACTAGCTAATTTATATATAATTCTACTATATTTAATATACCCCCTTAGTGCTAGTAGCGTATTTAATTACTATAGAGCCTACACTAAATATTATCTATATATAGCCTATTTATTTATTAATTATTTTTTAATATCTAATATATTTTCTACTTTTATTTACTAATAAAGCTTTATTTTATTATTAGCTAATTCTTACTATTAATTTACTTTAAGGTATATATATTAGTTACTTATATTTAATAACACTATTAATATAGTAAATTATTATACACTAAGCGCCTTTATTAATTTATTAGCTATTAATTTAGTAGACTTTTTATATTTAATAGTAATTTAACTTACTACTACTTTTTAGTATAGCTAGTAGTTATAAATATCTATATACTATAGCCTTATTTATAATTAAATAAGCTTCTTAGTAATAAGCCTAATAGTTTAGGTATTATTATAGCTAACGTAAATAGTTAGTAGCTATTTAGTAGCTACTTACTTATTAAGTAATAATTTAGTTCTTAGTTATATTAATAGTTAAATACTTAATATAGTAATTAATTTACTAATAAAAAGCACCTCTTTTATAGTAAATAATAAGGCTAGTAATTTAGCCTTAGTAGTTAATATTATTACTATATCTATTTATTAGCTTACTAAGAGATAAGCCCTTTAAATAGCGTTAGTGTATACGCTTATAAGCTATAATAGTCTAATAAGTTATTAGTAAATAAGGCGTTTAAAGTAAGCTCTAATATATTATCTTTACTACCTAGTATTACTTTATATCTAAGGTAAAGGTGCTATATTTAATAAAGATACCTAAGTATATAATTTATAGCCTTTTAGTAATCTAGATTTAGATTATAGTTAAAGTAGGTAAGCTAGCTAGCTATAAAGGTAATATCTAGCTAGGTTATTACTACTATATAAAGGATTATTTTTAGTTTTTTTTAATATTAGTTAACCTCTTATAATAAGGCTATATATTTCCTAGGTAGTAGCTTAGCTTTTACTATAAGTAATAGTTTATTATATTTATATTTATTATTTATTAGTAGTAGTTTTATTATTTTATTATAGTATACTACTTATAAGAGCTAGACATAATAGTTACTTTAGTTATAAATTACTTTAAGGCTAAAAAACTATTATTATAGGCCTCTACTTTTAAGGTAGTATTATTACTAAAAGGCTACTATCTTATTACTTACTTATATTTTATTTATATAGTAGTAAGCTAATATATAGTTATTAATATAAAAAATAATATAATATAATCTTTTTTCTAATAATAATTCTTACTAAGTACTTAGTAAACTCCCTATATAGTAAGCCCTTCTTTAAGGTACTTTTACTATAGTAGAGGAGATTATTAGAGCCTATAGAGTGCTTTTAATAACTAAAAGATCTAGCTAGTAATATTATAACCTAATAAGTTATAGGCTATATTACCTTACCTAATAGATAGATAGTAGGTAGTAGTAGTATTTATATAGATAAGAAAAAAGGAATAAATAGATAACTCCTTAGAATAAAAGAACTATAGTATAAGTTATATAAAAATAAAAAAGTAATTATAAAAGTAAGTGCTTACTAGTATTTACTAAGCACTTACCTTATATAAAGATAGTAATTACTTATAACTATTAGTTAAAGGAATATTACAGCTAGTTTCTAGACAGTAAGGTTTCTACTAATAGTAAGCAGAGGTTAGTACCTAGTTAACAGTATTCCTCTTCTTTATTATCTTTTATTAATTACCTAGTAATTAGTTAAGGCTTAGGGTTATAAGGCAGCTTATATAGCTTCTTATTAATTAAATCGCTAAGGTTAGATACTAAAAGGTATTTAAAGAATATATCATAAGTTAATTACTAAAGAGCTATAGGAGTCTATCCTTAAGTGCTTCTAAGTCTATCCTATATATAAGTCCTAACTATTTCCTAAAGAGTTCCTTTAACTAATAGTTATAAGGTAAATAAGTGCTTACTTAGGTATCTACTAAGCGCTTATCTTACTTATAAATAAGTGCTTATTCTTTATCTTATCTTATACTTATAGTTATATAACTTATACTATAGTTCTTTTATTTTAGAGAGTTATCTATTTATTCCTTATTTCTTATTTATATAAATACTACTACTACTTATTATCCTCTATTAGGTAAAGTAATATAGCTTATAACTTATTAGGTTATAATATTAGGTCTCCTCTCTAAAAGGGCTTAGTTTTAAGACCTATATAAGTAAGTTATATCTCTTAAGTTAAGGAGTTATTAATTATACTTCTTTATTTCTTATAATACTAATACTATATTAGGTTATATAAAGAAAATAAAATTATAAGGTACTTTTTCTTATTATTACTTACTTTATATTATTTAATTTTCTAATAAAGGTGTTAAAATAATACTATATTTAAATTATTAGTCTTATAGTATATAGTTTCTAATTCTTTTTAACTTTAATATTTATAGTACTTATTATTATTTAAGAATATCTTATAATATATTTATAAATACTATTTATACTTATAAGTAGTTATTATTTTAATTCTTTAGTTTTTTTTACTAATAGTTCTTTAGTAAATTATTTAGTAGTAAAGTCTAATTATCTTAATTATAAAGAGGAGGCTAAAAAGTTATATTTCTAAAAAAGAGCTATATTATTATATAATAAGGCTAAGGCTTTCTAAAAGACTTAAGCTAAGTTAAATAAGTTACTTACCTAGCTTAAGTAGCTTTATTCTTAGAAAAGAATAGTATTTAAGAAGAGTTAGAAAGTGTTAGAGGAGTTTCCTAAGGATTCTAAGGTTCCTTTTAAACTATTAGGGGCTATATAAAAAGTATAGTCTAGTAGTACCTTTAATATAGTTAACTAAAGTGCTATATAAGGTAATCTAAACTTAATAAGTTTTAACTTTAGTATACTTATAAAAGCTACTAAGAATATTAAAGGTTCTTAATTAGTTCTTATAAATTATTTTTATATTTATAATCTTTTTATTTAACTAAGTATTATTTTGTTTTATTTTTATAGTATTAGTTAATAATTTTTTAACTTTATATTATAGTTTATATAGTTTAATAATAATATAGTTATTAGTATTTAATTCTTATAGTACTAGTTTTAGTAGTATAATATAAAAAGCTAAGTAAATTTTTATTATATTAAGTAAGTTAAGTTTATAGTTAACACTAAAGATCTTTTTAAAAATCTTAAATAGTCTAAGTTTCTTATAGTTAAGTTTATTACTTAGTTACTTTATTATAATATTTCTATATAAAAGATATATATTATCTCCCTCTTTAAATATTAGTCCCTTAATCCTTAAAGTGTTAGTATATTTCTTTATTTATACCTTAATAAATTCTAAGTCTAGAGCTACTTTACTTTAAAGTTCTCTTATTTTATTAATATTAGCTATAGCTTTTAATACTTATAGGCCTTCTTAAGGTTCTCTATAGGTAGTTAGCTAAAATCTATAGTTTAAGTAAAATAGTAAGTTCTAAGTGCTTTCTTTAATAGTACTATTATAAGTAAATTAGGCTATAAGTAATAGTAGTACTTAATTATCTTAGTTATAAATTAATATAGTATTATAAATACTACTAAAGTATTTAATTAATTTTTTTTATTTATTAGTTTATAAGTAAAATATAGTAAATAGTTTATAATTTATACTAAGTTATTAAATTAGGGATTTCTAAAACTTTAAGGTAAATAGCTTATCTCTATTAGAAATAATTTCCTTTAGTAAACTATAGTTACTAATAATATATTTTAAAAAGGTATATACTAAGTCTTTTACTATACTTAACTTTAGGTATAATATAAAGTAAGTATACTTTATAAGTTAGTTAATAATAACTAAAATACTATTATAATATATCTTTATAAGAAGTTCTCTTAACTTTAGTAGTTTAATAATAAAGTCTAAAAAGATTAAGTACTATACTTTTAGTAGTACTAGTAGTAGTTATATTTACTTATATAGCTTATAAGGACTATTTTTACTTTTCTTATATATTTTATAGTCCTTAATTACTAAAGCTACTTCTTTATATATAACTTTTTTATTATAATATTATTTAATTTATTTAAATATTTTTATAATTCCGTAATATCTATATACCCTAGCGCTATATATCTTATAAATCTATTTAGGTGTTATTCTTCTAGTTATACTAGTATTACTATATCTACTAATTATAATAAGTTTTTAGGCTAGTATAATATTACTATTATTATTATATTTAAGGATAACCTATATTTCCTCTAGAACTAAGACTTTATAGTCTGTCTTTCTACTTAGTATGTCTACTTTACTATTTTCTATTCTCT